AAATTTGTATGGAATAATGGAAATGAGGAAAGTCTTCTAAAAGAAAAGTGTTTAAATTTGCAGTTCTGACATAGAACATAGTAAAATAATACCATATCACAAGCCTAGATTAAGATGTATTGTCCCAATATATATAATAAGTATGTATTTCAAATAGAATGCTGATTAAAAAAAAAACTTAGAATTAGAGAGATTATTACAAACAAGACAGCTTTAACAGCTGCCTTAGAGTGAGTAAAATTATTGTCAGCAGAGCAAAATGAATGACCAATAATGAATAAAATGCTGTTAATGGAAAAATGGACTTCTACATCAAAGAAAATTTATCTATTGAGAAACAAAGGAAAACAATATTAAAAACTCTTCTATTTTGTTTAATAAATATTGAAGGTCAGAAAGATGTTTAAAAATTGAAATTTCATAAAAATAAATCATAAAAGTATTCACTACATTCATCTACTTGAAAATGCAGTATGAGAAATGTAGCTTCATGGAAAATAACCACTTCAAAAACTACTGTTTATCCTCTGCTGACTGGCATTTTTAAGAAATTCAATTCACCATAGCAACCTGTCTTAACACCAGCAGATAAGTACGGTCTATATTTAGCTTTGATAGCTTTCCAGACGGCAATCCTGCCTTTCCTTCATATTTAATGCCATGATCCAGGGACCAAAATATCATTCAATCATATTGTAGTGTGAAGACAAGTACACTCAGGAGGATGAGGCTATGTTTCAGAGCCATGAAAAGAATAGTTTCAACCAAAAGTGGTAAAAATTGTACAAAAGTACATAAAGCTAAGTAAAAACTTCATGTCTAAGAAATTTACAATCAGTTACACTATTTTGTTCAATTTTATCCTTTCTCTTAAACATAAAATGCTGTTATTAAGTACTAATAATCTATAATATTAAAGTATCTTTCAACTAGCAGGTTGTCTTTTTTTTTAAATGGTATGTTCCATTTCCAATCTGGCATCTTCTAACCAAAAAGAAAATTTCTTTTTACCCACAAGCGATCCTTTCCAGATGAGGTATAACACTAATACAGATAAGTAATATAAATCAAAATAAAAAAGATGAATTGATGAAAGGGCTATTGTTACAAAATTATTTTGGATATATTTGCATTTTATAATCTTTGTAAAGACAGTGAAATTTTGCTATTTTTCTAAATAACAGTTTTACACAATTTACTTCACAATATGCCAAAGTAAAGATAATAATCATAGACAACACCTTGATTTTTCTTTACTTTTACCTTAGTTGCATTGAAATCATTATTAAAGGTAAGATATGAAGTAATAAAAGTTCAATTAAAAATACAAAGAACATAGACTGGGGTAAGGACGAATGGAGAGTGGTTATTTAATGGGTACAGAGCTGCAGTTCAGCAAGAAGAAAAATTTCTAGGGATCAGTTGCATAATAGTAAATATATATATAACACTACTTAACTACTCATTGAAACTAGGTTAGGATGGCATATTTTATGCTATGTTTATTTTACTACAGTTTAAAAAAATACCAAGAATACTGATAGGTATTTCTTTACCTATAACATAATTTAACCAGAATTTAGGACTAAGAATTTAGGATTAAGATATGTTCATTATCAAAAATCACAAGAGTTTATAACTTGGTAATATATTTTTCAAAATTTTGACATAACTGGAATAGTTGAAAATATATTCTATCATAAATAAAGGCAACAAACACATTTTTCATATTGTGAAAAGAAATTTACCCTATGTGACTATAGGTAAAATAACTAACATCTCACATTATGAATTATATTTCTATTATTCAGACGTGGCTGATTCTTCTATGAATTAAACAGTTCTTTCTCTATTTGTCTAATGAATGAATCAACTAACTAACTAACTGACTAACTAACTAACTAACTAACATGACACACATTGAGGATGGCCCTAAATTCTTAAGAGATCTGCAAATTAAATAAAACGAGACACACCTACTTACACAATCAGCATCAACACAATGAATAGCACAAACAAGTGTCCAATTTCTATTAGCTTTGTTCACTCTAATGCTTTCTCTTTTGATAATTAAAAAGCTTTTAGTAGTTTCTATAAGTGAATCTGAGTTCAAATAACTACTTATGCTGACTAATTAATAAATAAGCAATGAGAAACCTAAAGTATAAATATGATGTCTTATCTCTTCTTTAGCACACAGCTAATGGGATGTGAATATATTTTGAGAACCATCTTGATAAAGAAGACAACTGAATATAGCTTAAAGTACACTACATATAATACCTACTTTGCATATAAGAGTCACTTCTTTGGAAGAAACATCATAATGATTTTTATAACTTAAATAATATGTATTCTTCCATTTAGAGAGAGCAAAAATCAATTATATCATGGTAAAATTAACTTTTTGTGCATTTTAAAATTATGTGTCATATTAAATAATTTCTGAAGTGGTGATAACATCAAGTTAAATGTAACAACACTTTTAAATGTTTCATTGAAGGAACACACTACAGGAGGTTTTATAACAAAACTCACATTGAAAAGTTATATATATAGCAGGAATTAATCTTAAAATATTAAAAGCTGTAAGTAGAAGATAAGCTCTTAAAACAGTAAAATTGTCTATTTGAAAATTTGTTATACCTGCAAATTACTAATTCAAACAAACCCTGAAGCATATTCATCAGCAAAAGTAAATGTCAGGAAAAAGACTAATTATAATAAAGCAAAAATCAAAATCAACAAGCAACTATAAACCAGAGACATACGATGGCGGGGGAGGAAGGAGTAGGATCAAAACAAGGGGGGTGAGGTGGGAATTGTATGGGGACTATGACCAAGATGAAAATGCATACATTGTGCAAAAATGAAAAATGATGTAAAAAATATATAAAATTGGGCCTCCCCAGTGGCGCAGCAGTTGAGCGCTGGGTTGCGAAGCTGCCTGCAGCCCCTGTAGCGCCGGTTCGATCCCCGGCTGCTCCCCAGCCACTGGAGGAGGGTCCCACATGGCGCGCAGACCTCTCCTGCCGCCCGCTGCTCCCCTCAGCAGTGTACTTCGGTCCTTCTGCCTGCTCTGTTCCCCGCTCTGGCTCTGGTGAATTCTCTCACCCTCCTGCGCTTCTGACTGTACCCAGTGCTTGTATAAATAAATAAATAAAGCTTTAAAAAAAAAGAATAAATACATTATTAAAAAAAAAAGAAAAATAAGATTTAAAAAATATATATATAAAATTAAAAATAAATAAAGAAATCTTTTTTAAAAAAAGTAAATGTCAAGTTCCTCTGTTTGGTCCTACACTTAACAACTATAGGGTTGTGATAAAAATAAGTATTCTCAGAATAAATACCTTTTACTTCATATTTATCACAAGTTACATCCTCACTACAACAAATAAAAAGTTAGTAGGAAGACCAGACATCTTGCTTGGTGATTTACAATTTTCTCATCTTTGTTTTCTTTAGTGACATTCCTCCTTTGTCATGTTCACATAATATACCTCACTCCATTCATTCTAGCACAATAATTAGTTTTACTACAATGGAAGTTAAAGCTTGGAGTGTGTATTAAACAAATTTAGATAAATTACAGAAAAGTCTACCATATTAGTTTGCCACAGATTTAGAATATAAACTTGTCACTCTTAATTCTGACTTTTCATTCTCCTTTGAGGCAATAAATCCCTGAAACTTTTATTGTTTCATATTCTCCTAAGATCTCTAGTTGTTCTTCCTGCTTCCACTCTTTCTCCCCCTCCACACATAAATGTTTACTTTCATTTCCGTACTTTGTTCACAGTAAGTCTATACCTATTCCTTTATTTGATCAATACATACCATACATACCAGAGTTTATTGACATAAACTCTGAATGTCAATATTGACCAGATAACTTAAATTTTTCCCAATTTACTCTTTACTTCTCCATTCTATCTTTATTTTTGGCATTAGTGATTGAAATACTTAATTTTTCTCAACACACCAACTACTTTCAGCATCAGCATAGAGTAGGTAAATCAAAACACAAATCTGCAGGCGTATTAACACACAAACCATTTATTCAATATACAAATCTTATTCTTAATATTTTTTACTTGGAACATTTATTAATATAACTTATGTATACAATTTTAGCAATCCTAATAGTAGTCCAGAGCACTCATGAACTGCTAGTGATTTTAGAAACAGGTTTTTGTAAATGAAAGTTATTTTGGACATATTTCCCACCTGATGTTGCAACATAAACAATTCAACTCCAACAAGGACCACAAAATGTACATGAATCAATGAACAAATAGAAACTCCTACTTAGAGCATATTACTATATAATGGTACCTTTAAAATAAAATATATTCTATCATAACTGGAAAAGACATTATTTTCTGCATGCTAAGCATTTCTTTCCCTAAACCTTTACCAAGTAAAAAATGCAACTTCAAAATATGAATTAGTCATTAATAGTACAGTTTGACAACTCTTAATAAAGAAAAGTTCTTTTCAAAGCCAACTGGTAAGAACAAAAACAAATTCTTTCTTCCTGGACTCTTATTCTAGCCCAATGCCAAGAAACTGATGCTTTTGGCAGTTAAGAGAATGATGCTAAATTATGATATATGGCTACTTTAAAACCGAGACATAAAACTGTATTGTCTATCCAATGCAATAACAACCAGAGATGAATTTTTATTAGGCTACTAAGATCAAATTTGAGATTTAATGGTAATATTGCTTGATAAACACTACTCTACATTCTGGGAAGAAGTACTAGATTTTCTCAAAACACTACACTATTACCCATTATTCAATTACAACTGTCCATAGTTTATATGATTCAAGTCCATATGAACATATTTTTCCCACAAAGATGACATTAAAACAAATTTTTAAAAATGAAAACAATGCTCAACTTTAAATTAGTCCTGTTACAATTATTGAAAAAATGCCACACCAACCATCATGTTTTAAATTAAATTTAGTACTGAAAACCAAATACTCACAAAGAAGGATCTTGTACGAGATCTTTCAGGTTTATCCCACTGCGATCTTCCGCAAGATTCCTGAAGCAACTATCACTCACTGAACAGGAAAGGAGGGAGGAAAAAGAAAATTGATTTTAGTTTACATTAGTTTACATTTGCTGACCAAAAGAAATTTTGAACTTAAAATGGGCTCTTTGGATAGAGTTTTTCCAAACATCAATATTGATTAATTTCTGGGCCTGGTAGATTTAGCTATGTAATTAATATTCAGTAAATAACAAATAATCTAAGCAATCAGACTTTATAGAAATACATTGTATAAAAGAGTAAATATATGATTCCAAATTTTGTTCTTACTTATACAAGACTAATTTACCAGCAGATAGTGGCAAGTCACTGCCCTCACAATAACTAGAAACAAAAAGGTAAGTTATCCCCCCAAATCACATATTTAAATATAATGGAGCACAAGGAAAGCAAAAAGGATAAACTCAGAGAAACCTGATGTCTTTTCTAAGGATAAGCTAAGCTTTTTTTCATTTTTGATAGGATTTGCCATTTAGAATGCAAGCTAAGAATCACAAAGAGGGACTCCACTAGATAAAGGAGAAACCAACATAGCTCCTTATAATTTATGTGTTGGGATGAGAGACTGAAGTCCAATGGAACTCTCAAAACACAGACAGTCCTTCCCTGGGAGATTTGATGAGTACTAATTTTGCAAAAGAGGATTCAGGGAGAAGAGCAGAGAAGGGGTCAGAGGGCAAATACTATATTCTATAGTGTTGTGGTGATTAGTAATCAAAACATACTAAGACAGGTAAAGCCTACCAGTTTCAATGTAGAATTTCAACAGGCTTCTCCTCAAGCATTTGTTTTCAGCCAAAAGCCTTGCATCCTGAGAGGAAGGATGACTCACAGGGCCCAAAAAGTAGAACTTGTATACCTGTATACAAGTAACACTGATATATATATATATATATATGTTTACCTGCAACACTGATATACCTGTAACACTACAGGTCTTGCCTTTAAATTCAAAGATAGACTAAACATATCCAAAGCTATGAGTCAAACCACCTAGCTCAATTTGTGTTGAACCGAGGAGATTACCACTTGATCATTTGCCACAGGATTAAAAAAAAAAAACCATCAACTTCCATTATCCTGTAATAAACAGTACATGATATACAGCAGAAATTATAAAGTATAGAAAGAAGCACAAAATGTGATCAACAACGAAGACTCCAGACTGCACAAGGATGATACAGAATGAGAAAGCAAAAGACTTGAAGAAAACCATTTAATATAAGTTATATATAGAAAAAAAGTTCACAATAGATAAAAAGAGGAAATTTCAACTGAAAGGTCAATGCAGGGGGCCAGAATGCAAAAGCCCACCAGGGGCAGGAAGCCTACCAGGGGGGCAGGAATGAGGAAGCTCACCTAGGAAAAATCAGCCAATAAACCTCTTCCTGCCCTACAAATCTTTTCCCCACCCTACAAACCTTTTCCCACCATGCAAACCCAGTTTCCCACCTGACCTCTCCTCACCCTATAAAAGCCTGCCCCCCCCCACCCACCCGACAATATGCACAACTTCACTGACCCCCACCTTGGGTCTGTGAATCTCGCCCAGGGACGCAATAAAGTTTTCCCGCCTGCGAGAAACTTGGCCTGGCTCTCCTTTTCTTTACTGCACCAATCCGTTCATCAACAAAAATTAAAATCTATTAAAAAGATCTGAAATTAAATAATCAGGAAGTTTTATAGCTGACTCAACACATAAAACACAGGATTAGTGTGAACATTAAGACATAAGCAAAAATAAATCCAAACTGAAGAAAAGATAAAAAAAGATAAAAAAAGAAAAGATAAAAAGATAAAAAAGAAAAGATAAAAAGACCATATGAGATATGTAGAAATCAAACAATTTAATGGAACTGCAGTTCAGAAGAGAATGGGGAAGAGTAATAACTTCAGCAAAAACAGCTGAGAATACTCCAAAACTTGTATGATACATTGACCCACTGAATCAGGCAGTACAGCCAACCCCACACTGGAGTGAAAGAAAACCACATGCACTAAGCAAACAGCTGAAAGTCCAAGACGAGAAGAAATCTTTTGGGCCTCCCTGGTGGCAAGGGGTTAAGTCTCAGCACTATGAGCAATCGGCAGCCACTGGAGCACAAGTTAGATCCCAGGATAGGGAGCTAACCCACATGGCAGAGCAGACTCTCCTGTCTCACCCACTGCTCCCCTCAGCAGTGTATTTCAGTCAATCTGCCTGTTCTGTTCCCCTCTTTGTCTGTGGTGAATCATCCCACCATCCCACCCTCCCCCCACTCCTGCTGCCCACCTCCAATCTATAACCCAGTTCTTGTATACGTACATAAATAAATCTTTTTTAAAAATGTAGAAATCTTTAAAAGAGCCAGGAAGAGAAAAAGAATGTAACACCTTGAAAAGAAAAACATAAAACTTAACAACTGAGTATTTGACAAACCATGGAATCCAGAAGACAATGGAATGATGTGTATTTAAAATGTCAGGGTGGAGGGCAAGAGAGAGGGGAGGGTGGGAAGCGTTAGAGGAGGGGTTGAAGACAATTTCAAACCCTACACAACATTTCAGTTTCAGGGAAACTCAAGAAATTACTTCTATTATGCTTTTCTACCCTTAGGCATACATTTTGTTAACTTCCTCCTTTATCAATAGGACACTTATTAACCAAGTCTCTCTACGGGAAAAGTAGAGGATTAACCTTCTCTCTATATATACACACCACCTCACTCAGATGTCATCACTACCAGATTCACCAAAAACTGTAATTTTCTTACTTGTTTTAATTAATCTTTCTTATTAATCTTGTTCTTATTAATTTTTCTCATATTTATTTCAGAGTTTAATATTAGAATTGGTATGGATCTTATTTAGAATTCTGGTAATGTTTTTGTGACCAGACCATGAACTCTGAACCTCTTATTTATATAAAGCAGTCTGTGGTAAAATTGGTTTTATTATACCTATTGATGGTCTTAGTGAGGACTTAATATAGCTTGGTACTTATCTAAACCTGTTAATATAAGACAAATCTTCTGCTTTCATAAATGTAACACATATGCCCTTTTTCCCTACCATTTTCTGAGTAGAGCCAAAAAGGGAAAAAATTAAATGTTGGCACACTATAAGAAAAGTTGGTTTCCAGCTGAGCTGAACTAAAATTGAAGGAATAATATACTGTATCATAAAATTTGTTCTCATAAAGTTTCGTGCCCAATTTGGCAAATATGAGAGCTTCGTTATAAACTTCAAGAAGCTAAAAGTTCTGTAGGCTTAATTAAAATGGAATAAACCTTTGCTCCCTTAAAGTCTTACTAGTCAGCTATCTGTGAAATGAGTTTTGCTAAAGACAGCATTTTTCTAAAACTCATGTCCCATCCAAATTTTAAGTTGATAAATGATCAAGAAATCTTAAAGAAAAAAAAGCTTCCACAAAAATTTTTAAACTTTCACTAATAAAATATATTGATTGTTTTCATTTAGGATATTTTTTCAGAAATGCAACAAACTTTGGTTTTGAATTTTTTTTTTAAAGATTTATTTATTTATTTACACAAGCACTGGGTACAGTCAGAGACACGGGAGGGTGAGAGAATTCACCAGAGCCAGAGCGGAGAGTAGAACAGGCAGAGTGATGAAGTACACTGCTGAGGGGAGCAGCGGGCCGCTGGAGAGGTCTGCGCGCCATGTGGGACCCTCACCCGGCGGCCAGGGATCGAACCAGTGCTGCAGAGGCTGCGGGCAGCTTTGCAACCCAGCGCTCAACCACTGTACCACCGGGGAGGCCCAAGGTTTTGAATATTTTAACAAACATACTAACTAAAGGAATTACTATGCTCTTTGTCTCACTGGTTCATAAAAGTTCTTCAACACTTCATTACAAAAGCCAGATAAAACAAGAAAAATTATAATACATACAGTCAAGCTATAGGACAAACATGAAAATTATAAACTTGACTTCCATCTGGTTTATATTTCCATAATAATTGAAGAGGAACAAAGAAAAATTAGAAATACTTTGCAAAATTGACTCCTTAGAATTTTCATCCAATCACATCCATTTTTCCCCTGTAAATGTTCATGCTTTAGATCCATAATCAAAATGATTGGCACTCGTTATATGCTAAGCATTTCATTATTCATTACCATATTTAATATTCTGAATCATCCAACGATATTAGTATCTCCATTTTAAAGATAAGGAAACTAAAGCATGGGGGTATTAAACATCCTGCTAGAGGATATGTAATAAATAGCAGTACTGGGAAAACCTAGCTAATAAATAGCAGTACTGGGAAAATCTAGACTCTGTAACTCCAGAACCTGCGCTCTTAACCACCAGTGCTATTCAGAAGATAGTTTTCATTGATTTCTCATTTTGTTATGCATTCTCATGTATTTCCTATATTTAGAATAAAAGTTACACAGTTCAAACTCCTTAAGAGAGTAAATATCAACCCAATGTATCATTAAACAATTACATTTTTTTAAAGCTGAATGAAACATTAGAAGTCTTCTAGTTGTATGGTTCATTAACTGTTTCACATCTCATGGGTCCTATGGCGATGTCTCAGAATCAAGGATACTCCTTTTCCCCTTTCAGCTAAAGAACTCCATTGGTGTTTTATATATTAGATTGCTTTGAAGATTATATTTGAAAAAATTTTAGTAAAGATATCTTCATTTTTTAAATTTTTCTCTCAGATTTTATTTATTTGCCTAGTAAAGGTATCTTTATAGGAGCAGAAACACACATACATATACATACAAAACACCTCAAAATAGTATCAGTTGTACTCTCCATTATTTTATAGATGAGAATCATGGCTTACCTATCACCACCAAGAGTGAGCATTCAAACTGAGTATATACTTATAAATATTTGTAAAATGAACACAGAGTTCTTAGCTAATAATGATAACCACCTTTTTCTGTGTTTATTCATCTTTCTGTTCTATACTGAAAGTAATAGTTAACATTATGTGCTAAGCACTTTGTGGTCATTTTCTCACTTATAACTATACCATAGTATTA